CTACTTTACACCTGCTAAAACAAATTTAATTGAAAAATGTTCTGTTGGAGCTGACACAAGCTAGTCAAAGTTTCTGTCTGAGTTGTGATGATCATTTCATGCCACAATCATCAGCTATAAACATGCATATGTAAACATGTCCTTACCCAAGGGAAACAAAAGAACAAAATAGACACTCAAATGCTTCTTGATATTTACCACTTAGGTAAGATCGCAAATATAAACATCCTCCAAATTTGAATACAATGTCCTGTAACATTCTTCAGACATACGCCACAACATTTGTCATTTTCCCCAGGTCAAGCACCCTATTAAAGCAGGCTGATTTTCAAAAGAAAATCATTTCACAATATTTTAAAAGTTGTTCACCTACCTAGAATGATTCAAAAGAATATCCCATAAGAAAAAAAAGCCTAAGACTGCAACCCTAACCCCACTTACCCAGAAGCAAGCCCAACTGGATTCAGTTGAACTTACTTCTGTGTAGATATGGTTAGAATTGTGCTGTAGATTATGATAAAATTCTCTATAGAATATTCCAAAGACATTTCTCACCCCCCACCTATTTCCTGGGCTACCTATTAAGCTCACATATGCATGCATTATTGAGATGCTAAGCCCACACAATGCTTCAGGGAAGTGGGGGAGAATAGCAAAAATTAACTGCTCTCTAGTTAATTGCAATAGCTTTGAAGTTGTATTAATTCAAATTTAAACCCAGAGTTGTAACAAGATAAGCAATAAGAGCCCACAATTTTTGCTGCTTTCTCATTCAAACCACCTTCATCCATACAATTCAGGAATTCAGTAGCCTGGGTCCTTGCACACAGCCTACTCCTGCTTTGGAACAGGAATAGATTAGTATAATATAGCAGTATCTGCTGCTAAGAAGGAAAGCAGAAGTGCTAGGCCCCATCACTAACTAGGGACAGCACATGTCCCTATGATTCCTCACTGCCCACAGAGTGCTTGTTATATAGCTGTTGCAGTGTTCCTCCTAGTGGTGGTGTGTGCCGTTTCACCGCTAGGGGCGAAATGGGAATTGCTGACCCGCCCTGACACTGCTGCTGCCACCTATACCACCCAGCCACCTGCGGAGAAGCATAGCTGTCAACCGTCCCTTATTTGGCGGGAAACTCCCTTATCCCAGCGCCGTTTCCCGCTGCTGTCCCGGATTGATGATGGCCCGTAAATTTCCCGGGTTTCAAAGGAAGCAGCTCCTCTCCCTCCCTGCCTGCCGGCCAAGGAGGAGGGAGGCTCCAACTGTGTTGCTTGGCTGAGTTGCTCACCCAATGAGGAGTCTAAGAATGACTGGGGGGTGGAGCTTGCATGCCTTGTGCCGATCAAATTGGCCGCGTTGCCTGGGGACTCGCCTTTGCTCAGTGCTTCTCAGCGGAGAGGTGACGGTGGTTTTCGTTGTTGCATCCCCTTTGCAGGGTTGCTGCGCTGCGGGAGCCACCGCTTGAGGCTTCGTTTGGCTGCTGGTTGACTAAAATTCCTTATTTTGGCTGCTGGTCCCTTATTTTCAAGGCTGCTGGTCCCTTATTTTCAAATCTGTAAGTTGACAGCTATGCGGAGAAGTAGCACCGGCATTGATTTTGGGTGAGATCTCATGTGTTTTGAAAGATCAGGCCCGAAAGATCATATGCCAACAGAGCAGGCATCGGGGCGCCACCTTGGAGGCTTTTGCCAATCGAGGCAGAAGCCTCACTCTGCCTAATGCCTGCTCTGGTCCCACCTCCATATCTGTCCTCCATGCAAAGACATGGTAGTGACCCAGTTTGTGTGACCGTAATGAAGAGATATTTACAAAAGGTTTGGATTTTATTTGTTTTCCGCTGTGCTCTACATACCTTGTCCTCACCTAAAAATACTAGATTTTATTTAAACAAGCCCAGGACATTCCCAAATAATCAGCCCAGTGTCAGAATGGTGCTTTATTTGCCATGTTCTACTTCAGAGAAAGCAAGAAAATTGTTCAGAAAATAATTAACTAGTCTTGTTTTCTTTTCAATTTTTCAGTGTGTATCCATCAGGAAATAATACACATGCCATCTTGCTAAATAGGAACTGTGAAATTAAGCTGTCAGTTTCCTGAATTCACATTGGCAAATATGCTCAGCTGCAACCAATAGAAAAGTTCACATTTCCACGAACATTTTTACACATGGGATGGTATTTCTCTTATTTATTAAGTAACCCTCTTTCTCTTGAGTTTTGGGAACTGCTAACTTGCCTTTTAAGAAGTAGTAACACAACCATTTCTCAAAACATTAAAAAAGACAGAGCAACCCTTTCTAAAAATAAATGTGAGTTTGTACAACAGTCATGAAGAATTATATGTGTGCGGTTTAAAAAAGGCAGACATTTTAGAACGAAACTGCACATGCCCGAGGGTTCACCCGCTTTGCTTGGAAAAGCTGCTTATGGCCTTTTAAGGGTCAGAGGAGAAGATTAGTTAATTAGATGGAGTCCCAGGCCCTGAGTTAACTTACAAGTGAAAAATAAGGCAGCTAGTGACAGATGTGAAAGAGGTGTGAGGAAATTGTAAAGGGCAAGACTCTAAAAGACAATATAGAAGATGATGGTATATCAAATCCAGTAGGTTCTTTGCAATGAAGTTTGTTCCTATAGTGAAATAAGATAATTTACATAAATCATGCACATATATTTTATTAGGCAAAATGTCAAGTTTCAAGCAATATTGCTGAAATATAAGTTACAATATATAACTTACTGCTTATGTTAAATGTTCTTATTTAAGGCAGCAAAAGCCACTGTGAGCAGAAAACCCCACACATATTTTGACATCTAGAAGCCTTCTCAAGGCTAAGATAACTATGGACATTTATGTAACAATAGCAACATAATGGTTTGTTTACCATTGTTCAGTTCACTTCTTGGAACCTATGGTATGGTTAGTTAGTTTCTTGGTTCTTATGCTCTATCTGGTCAAGAGCTACTGAGATAAACAAAAGGCATTATTTAAATATCAGCTCACAAGAAAATAATTACTCTACTGTATTTCAGTACTGTAGTCCAACACTTAGAATTAAGCTGTATGAACATTATTACTTAATATAGATATACAGTGGTACATTGGGTTAAGTACTTAATTCGTTCCGGAGGTCCGTTCTTAACCTGAAACTGTTCTTAACCTGAAGCACCACTTTAGCTAATGGGGCCTCCTGCTGTTGCAGCCCGATTTCTGTTCTCATCCTGAAGCAAAGTTCTTAACCTGAAGCACTATTTCTGGGTTAGCAAAGTCTGTAGCCTGAAGCGTATGTAACCCGAAGTACCACTGTATATATATTTGGTTGCAGCTGTAAGACACCTGCCCCTCAAATCTACTATATTTTCTGTAACGGTAGTCCCCCCCCCATACTTATATGTACACAGCCGGTGGAAGATGAGGGGGCAAAGGAAGCTGGTCTTACTGACCAGCTAGTGGCAGATGGGCTCTGTACTGGGACAAGGGTAAATCTTGCAACATAAAATTGCTGGGATGCTTTTCTGCGTATGTGGCCTTGGTTTGCTGCATTTGTAACACCGAAGTGACCTCTCCAGGGCAATAGCCTGGGCAGTGTGTATGGAGGACATTGGCTGCCCAGGCAACAAGACTCTAGTGACCTTGGTGCTCTGTGCCTTTAACAGCATTTTGCGTAGAACAGGCCCATGTCTGGACATACTCCTGATAAAAAGAAAGAGATACTCTAAAAATTAAATTACATTTATCAGGCGACTCTTTTCCTATCAGTTTACCCTATGTAGAAGCCATATTGATGAAGCTTATTCCGTAGGTAAGTTTGGAAACTTCCATTGTAACAACCGTATGCAGCAATCTATTTTCTGTGATGGATGTTTTAAAGCAGAGGTTGGGTGGCAATCTGCTCATAGCGGTCAACCTTCCCTTTTTTGGTGGGAAATTCCCTTATTCCAGAACCATTTCCTGCGGCTTCCCGGATTATTAGATATCCCATAGACTGTCCCCGGGACAGGTGAGGCTGCTGATCCCTTATTTTTGAGGCATGCTGATTCCTTATTTTCAAATCTGAAAGCTGACAGCTATGAATCTGCTGTGGGTGCTTTAGTTGAGACTCCCCCATTCAGGGGCATACCTATGGGTTGTCCAGGTTGGTGCGGGCCCAGGGAGGCGCAAAAAATGGTCTCTCCACTTTGGCTTGGAGAGGAGGAGAAGGAGTCCCTGGCGGAGCATGAAAGGCGAGGAAGAGAAGTCTGGAAGGTGGTGAAGAGTAGTCCCTGGCAGAGCGTGAAACACAAAGAAAAACAGAATTTTTGGGAGGTGATGCTACACAGCTCCCTGCCAAGGGCGCAAGAGACCCTAGGGACACTCCTGCCTGCATTGCAGGGGGCTGGACTGCATGACCCTCGGGGGTCCCTTCCAACTTTCACGGCCTTATGGATTCTAATGCTGGTTTACAGGCCACGCCATGCCTGTTTTGGCGTGTTGTTTCTGACAGGCGCCCCTATTCCCTCAGGGGCGTTTAATGGCGCAGAGAAGCACCAGGAGCCTGTTTACATCTGCACCTGCCCTCCAGGGGCAAAGCCGTTTAGCTCCAGGCACACCATTCAGCGGGGTGGCGACTGCCCTCTCCAGCGCAGCGGCCATTGGGATTTTTATTTTTGTGATTTTTGTGATTTTTATTTTTGTGTGTGTTTGTGGGGGGAGCTTTTAATTTCAAGACTTTTCCTCACGCGGTGAAACCAGAGCACGAGCTGGGGCTAATAATATTTTATTTATATCCCGCCCTCCCCAGCCGAAGCCGGGCTCAGAGCGGCTAACAGCATCTCTCGCTTGCCCCATTTCCAACGCCCCTCACAGCAAAAGCCGCCATCTTACAGCTTCACTCTTCTCCCCCTTCTAACGCCTCCCCCCCCCACGGCGCGGGTGACGTCACGCGCACGTCCGTCCGTCCTCCCTCCCTCCCACGTATGCAAATGAAGCCCGTGGTTGAAGCGGCGGCGGCGGCGTAGTTGCCCGGATGTTGGAAGCTCCTCCCCTTTGCTGTCGACCGTTCGTGCTTCGGTTCCCCTGTCTCTCTCTCTCTCTCTCTCCCTCCCTATCTCAATCTTTCTCTCTCTCTCTTTCCTCCTCCTCCTCCTCCTCCCCCTCCCCTTCCGCGAGGCTGCGGGTCAGCGCGAGCCCACTGCGGCGAAACCGTCGTCGGCAACCACCACAGTAATAATAATAATAATAAAAAGGAGGGGCGGCGGCGGCGGCTCTTGAGGCAGCGCTTGCGAAGGGACCGAGGAGCGTGAGGGAAAAGAGGCGGAGGAGGAGGAAGGAGAAGAGGAGAGGAGGAGGAAGACGACGACGAGGAGGAGGAGGAAGAAGAAGGCCGGCACTCGGCGGTGGATTCGGCTGCGGGGAGGCTCTCGACAACCCGCCACCATGGTAAGGACCTTCGCCGGCCGCCGCCGCCCCCCGCCACCTGCAGGCCCTGAGGGGAGCCCGTTCTCAACCGACCGCGGAGGGGGGAGGGGAAGGGAGCGAAGGCGGCGGCGAGGAGCTCTTCCTCTCCCCCCCCCCCGCCGCGAAAGGAAGGAAATGAAGCGCCCCCCCGTCCCCGGTGTGTGTGTGTGTGTGTGTGTGTGTGTGTATATATATATATATATATATATATATGAGAGAAGAGGCGTAATCCGCTCTCTCGCTTCCTCCATGTCAGGCCTTCTCTGAGCCCCCCCCCCTTTCTGGTAGAAGGCTCACCCGCCCCCTCACCCACCCGCCAGAAGCCCCCGTATTTCCCCACCGGCTTAGCGACCTCCTTTCCGCATCTCATCGAGAGGCGCCTTCGGTGTCGTCGTCCCCCCCCAAAAAAAAAACCCCCACCCCGACACCGCACCCCAAACCCTCCCCGCAAAAGGAAAAAACGACACCCCCGCACGCAAAAAAAAAAAACCACAGGACCTCGTGTGTGTGTGTTTCTCTCCTATCTCTCTCCCCCCCCCCCCTTTACTAACAGTGGCTTTCCTGCTTTTCCGGTGTAGTTGCCTTCACCCAGCAGTGACCTCTCTTTCCCTGCAGTGCCCCACCCCTGGCAAAAGAATTCGTCTCCTCAATATGTGCTGTATTGCTTTAACCTCCCCCCCCCCCCACGCACACACTTTTCGTTTTCTCCCCTCCCCTCCTGCGATTGCTTTCTTGAAAGCGCCCCTCTTTTCTGCTCCGAACTCCTCCTCATCTCCCTGTAAAGGAAAAAAAATCCTGCAAATTTTCTTCATCCCACGCAGCTCCTCTTGCGTATTCGCATTGCTTGCTTCGCAGCAGCGGCAACCCCCCTCCCCTCCTCTGCAACCTTTTCTACCTTGTATAGCTCGCTGTCACCTACTAGGCGCCCTTTCTTCTTTCTTCCCACCTCACATGTGTGTATATATGCCTGTATGTATGGTCACACAGCGATAGGAAATCTGGCGCACGGCATAACATGATCCTGCCTCTGTGCCCCGAATAACAGCCACGGTTATGGGTGCTTGGTGAAAACAGATGGCGGGACTCTGTAGTTCACCCAAAAGCATGCTTTGAAGCAACTGGAAGAATTTGCTTTTGTTTTAAGTGTGCGTGTCTCTTTTTAATCACTCCAACTGGTAATGAAGAGGGTGGTTAATGGGTAACTAGTTTCAGGTGGTTAGCTATGCTAGTCCGTTGCAGCAAAAATGGTTATTGCAGCATCTCGTAGATTTACATATTTACTATGGCATAAGCTTTCATGGACTAGAGGCCACTTCATCAGATGTGGCTGCAATCCTGTGCATGTTTAGTTGGGGATAAGTCCCGTAGAGCACAGTGAGACTTGCTTCTGAAAAAGATTGCTTTTATAAATCAGTATTAAATCATCTTGACTATGCGTATATTCAGCCTTATGCTATACATGCCTGCTTGTTAGTATCACTGTGTTCCATGAAATTTACAGCCAGGTAAATGTGTCTAGGATCTTGCATAGGATCCTGCCTTTCTCAGTAGCTGTCTTAACTGTTTTGCCCTGTAGCATTCACAGACTTCACAATATTCCTTTATCCAGTTTAAACTCCATTACTCTGCCTGAACTTCCACATAGTGAAAACTCCTGGATTTGTGTTGTGCTGTAATGAAATGCGTTCATAATTTTTCGTTTCCTGGTCAGATTTATATTAATTTCTATTTGTAGTTGCCTCTACCTGTCATATTGCTTTCCCTTTACTGTCCACAAGCAACCATAGAGAAAGGTCATTCTAATTTCATTTGAAGCCTTGAATCCATCTCCAAAATAATTACTAAGGTGTCATATTATTCAGTTGCCTTTCAAGCATAACCTGCACAGCAATTTTTATTACACTTTTTATGTAGCCTTCATTAATCTAGACTACACTTTACCTCAGTATCCTCATTATAATTGTCCCAACACCATAATTTCCTCATACAGTATACACCACCACAAAAAATAATCCCCATTCCCTGATCTTTCTCAGTGGTCCCTGAACTATACAGATAAACCCCCTCTTTACTAACCTTCTGCTAGGTGCTAATAAACAGGCATGTTCTCACCATTTAATACATTAGCCACCCTTTCTTCACCATAGGAATGTGTCCTCCACTTGTACACATCCTCTTTCTACAAACAAATCTTTATTTTATTTTTTAAAATTGTGACTTAAATTTTTCCAGGGGTCTTGTGCACCAAAACATAAAGGCAGGATTTTAAAAATTAATCTTTTTCTAGTGTGCTAGTTGGGGGTTTTTGTGCTTTTTTTCCTGTGGTACAGCATTGTTTGATCTTCATATTTGAACTGAGATGCTACAGTGCACATAGCCTTTGCACAAAGCATGCCTGATAATATGTATTTCAGATTAATTAAGTAATGTTAACTCCAGAATATAGGAGTTGATACGTCCATGACCATTCAGGTTTCAGTGGATAAGAAAGATGAGGTAGAAAGGAACTGCCTACCTAAGAATCATGGCGATCAAAATTTGCTGTTCACTGCTATAAAATTAATCTAGTAATACTACTGCTGTAGTATTTTATGTCAACACTAGGGGTGTCTCCTGCTTGCTGCTAGTGCCAAGAATCAACGCCCTTTTCTTACAAACATTTGTTAGCTTAAATTATCTATTGCCTTTTCTTTTGTAACAAAATATTTTTTTTGGGGGGGGGTAGACTTGGAAAACATTTATGCCATAGCTTGATTTTTGTAATATGTCAGTTGCTTAAAATCTTTCTTATTTGTAACGTGTGTACTATATCTTCAAGGCTGAAATGGTTGTATATTATGAATTAGAAATGTGTGTCAGAAAAACGCAGTATTAAGGTTAACTGTTTTAAAAAGTGACTTAAAATGTGAGCCATTTGTGAGCCATTCAAAATAGTTGCAAGCTACACTCTTTAACAAGGTTCAGCAACATGTACTATTTTTATTACCTAAACAAACAAACAAAAACCCAAGGCTTCAATCCTCAGTATGTATGCTTGAAAGTGTTTGCAATAAGTGATTTCAACTAAGTGGTACTCATAATAGATCCATTGACATCAATAGACATGTTACTTAAATACATTGATTTCAGTAGGTCTACTTTGAGTATGGCTAATTTTGGATACCATCCAATTAAAGTTAATCAGATTTTGTTGTTAGTAAACCTGGTTTGGATAGGTTGTTAAAAAGAACTCCTTAAGAATAAATAGTTTTGAGGGGTTTCATTATAACAGTTGCATTTCATCTTCAAGTAAACTCAGAGCAGTTCATAATCATTTTAAGAATATTCTGGTGTGCAGATTTCTCTATGTTATGAAATCTGCATCATTATGTTACAAGATTGTTTTGGAATGTTAATTGCTATTCATAGTTAGCTAAGTTTCAGGTATTTCTAGACAAGTAGTGATAAATCTGGTTAAGAGATGAATAGATGAAGCCTTTAGTTTTCATGGGGTCTACCAGAAGAATTCCACTTTTAAATCCTGATTGTTGCCTGTTAGATTATTCAAGCATATGAGTCTTAATCCAGGGATTAAGCACACCCAGGAGTTGTGCATGCCCAACAGGTTTTTGGTCTTAAAACAGCAGACTTCCTTGCCCTATCGCAAACTTATTGTCCCTTGAAAAGTGCTGCACTACATTTATACATAATTTTATTTGTATGCTGACTTTTCAGAGTTGAAACCTGCTCAAGGCAGTTTACAACATGTAAAAATTACATAATTGCAAACATAAAAATAAGTAATAATAAGCAATAAATAAAACAGCAAAAAGTATACAACCAAATTGAACAATTTCCACCTAAATAATAAGAACAAAAATAAAGACCCCAAAATTTTTACCAATAGAATTCTCTAAATAATATCCCAGCCCAAGAGTCTGTTTAGCTGCTTCTGCAACTAGAGTGAGGTGGAAAAAGACCTACACTGCAGGGAGCAGATCTTCAGATCTCACAGCCATGATGATACAAAAATTACAAAGCATTTTCTTTATATATTTTGTAGGCGTATATACTGTACACTTGCTAATTTTGGGCCTCTATGCACTTTTGCTGCATTCATTTTTTATTTGTAGAGAAAATGTGCATTTATTATGCAATCTTCTCTTACTAAGTTTCTGTTGCTAGGATACCATATGTTACCATCGTTCAGGTTGCAATATTTTGTATTTCGCCAAACTTTTGTCTGAGATTAAAATCTGTGACCGAGATTATGACTCCCATATCATGTGCTGGATGTGGAGGGGATTCTCTCCAAGGACTGTGAACAAGAACATCTCCCTGCAGAGGACTTGTCTCGACAGGCATTTCCCAGCCTGAGCCTCACCAAAATGTCCCCGGGACCAAGATGAGAGTGACTCTGAGGCCCACAACACATTGCTCAGGATGGACAGTCAGGCCCACAAGATGGCTGCTGAATTTATTGAAACTGACACTGACTTCCTCAGGCCTTGCCAAAGCTTTGACTTGGCTGAGAACAGGAACTCCGTCTTCCTTCTGGAAGGTAGAGAGGAGGCATAGTCAATCCTGTGCAATGCTTTCCCCACAGGTCAATCAAAGACCCTGTTCTGTAGTAACCTCTATAGTATAATCAGTTCGTCCTCAGTATTTGAGATTGTGGCCTGCATCCACCTTCTTTGAAGAGAGCATTGACTATGAACCCTTGACCAGAGTAGAGTTTAGAAGTAATGTAATACCAATTAAATAAGGCTTAGTCCTTGATAGTACTAAATAGCCTCAGAGTTCATGGTTTGGAGGAGGAGAGTACTCCTAGAAAACCACTACTACCAGTCAGAGTGGACAATAATGAGCTAGATTGACCAAGAGTGACTCATAAGATAGCTTTTTGTGCTTCTCCTTGATAGCAGACTTTGCTAGTGCATTGTGTGGCTGGAGTGTTGCCTTCTGGATCTTTTGTGTGATTTCACCAACAACGAGGGACAAGC